CAGCTATTTGTAAGGCCTCCTCAGACAGCCATTTTGCTTTTTTGCATTTCTTTCTCTTGGGGATAGTCTTGATTCCTGTCTCCTGTACAATGTCACGAACCTCCGTCCATAGTTCATCAGTCACTCTGTCTATCAGATCTAGTCCTTTAAGTCTATTTCTCACTTCCACTGTATAGTCATAAGGGATTTGATCTAGGTCATACATGAATGGTCTAGTGGTTTTCTCCACTTTCTTCAATTTAAGTCTGAATTTGGCAATAAGGAGTTCATGATCTGAGCCACAGTCAGCTCCTGATCTTGTTTTTGCTGACTATAAAGAGCTTCTCCATCTTTGGCTGCAAAGAATATAATCAATCTGATTTCGGTGTCAACCATCTGGTGATGTCCATCTTCCTGATGTGAAGAGCCGACTCACATTGAAAAAGACCCTGATGCAGGGAAATATTAATGCTAGGGAAAGAAGAAGAGGGTGGCAGAGGATGAGGTGGTTGGATAGCATCACTAACTCAATGGATGTGAATCTGAGCAGACTCTGGGAGATAGTGAAAGACAGGCGAGCCTGGTGTGCTGCAGTCCATGGGGTCGCAATCAGTTGGACATGACTGAAGGGAGTTAGCATGCATGCACACAGCAGTACTTCCGGCCTACCTTTTATGGCTATGTTAATATTAATTATAATTAATTCTAAGAAAACAACCAGCTGATTCATGTCAATGTATGGCAAAAACCACTACAATATTGTAAAGTAATTAGCCTCCAACTAATAAAAATAAATGGAAAAAAAAGTATAAAATGAATTTAAAAATAAAAGAAAACAACCTTAATGCACTTCTTAAATACAATTGTTACGCTCATCTTTAGAAGATGCATGTTAGTATTACTTTGTCATTACATCAGTGTTTCCCAAAATGCTTATGTTGAAACGCTAGCCACAAGAGATTCTATAAGAAAAATGGTCCCTGGATGGGTAAGTTTGGAAAACACTGTACATAATACCTCCTCTCCCTGACAGTCACAATTAATATTAATGATTCTGACAAAACTGCAAGAAGGAAATAAAAAGCCCAACAGTCTTTGTAAATTCTAAATTCAACATTTCCCAATGGACAACATTATCCTTTCTTCATTTAATACTTTTCCACAATTTCTGTAATATCTTTTCAATTTCCATGAAAAATCTAAATTTGATGATTCTATTAGCAGCTACTTAACACATTTTCTGAACCATTTATCTACTGCTTACCTTTCTTTCAGAGTTCATCACTTATTCTATCTGCAAGGCAGGTCTTAAATCAGCCTCCAGTAGCCCTTCCACTTCCCACCTTAATCTTTTAACCCCAGAAGGTATTATTCATCCATTTTAAAAATGAAAAACTGAAGCTTAGAAGGGTAAAATAATTTGCCCAAAGATAGTGCTTCAAATCCCGACTGGCTTCAGAATCTGTATTCCTAGCAATTAGTCTATGCTGATTCATCTCTTTCTAGCCTGAACTGGCTTCCAAGGAATAGATAAAGAAGCAAACTCTCAGCTACTTCAGCTTCTCAGGCTTCCGTAGACGCCTATAAACTGTTAAATATTTAGCACAATAACTCAGCAACACCTGAGATGGTCTCCAACCATGCTAATTGATCTGCTTTTACCAGCTACTCAGGTTGAGTGGGAACTTTTAACTCNCTATACAGTAGGTCATTGTTGTTTATCTTATATATAGTAAAAATAACTATTTCTTTACAAATATGAATATTGACTTAGCTATTTTCTAACACCCAAGAAAAATATAAAAGAGAATTCCAACATGCTGACTAGTATTTGATGAGCTTATATCTGAGGAATGTCTGTGCGTTGCTAATATTAACTTTTTAACATAACATGAAACAGTGGGGAAACACTAGACTACAAGCTTGGGTTCTGGTCCTACTTCAGCCACTTGCTAGCTATGAGACCTTGGCTAAGTCATTTAAGTTCTCTAAGGCACAGTATTGTCACCTCTAAAATAATATAACGGTACTCTGTACCAATTACCTAACATGGCTGTGGAAAATATCAAATGGAATAATGAATATGAAAATTATTTAAATGTAAAGCATTATGCAAATATGTGCCCTTATTGGACTTGTCCTATGATACTAGCCACTATGAAGTTGTAACAATGGTTTCCATGTTGTCAAATATAATGGCAGATCTCTGACTTCATTTGAGCATCCTCTGGGCAGTATTTGTCACTGGTGACGAGTCCTTCTATCATGAAGTTTTTCTTATCCTTGGCTTTCTTTTTTTTTAATTATTTTATTTATTTTAATTGGAGGCTAATTACTTTACAATATTGTAGTGGTTTTTGCCGTACATTGACATAAATCAACCATGGGCGTACACGTGTCCCCCATCCTGAATCCCCCTCCCACCTCCCTCCCCATCCCATACCCTTGGCTTTCTTGACACTTAGCTTCCACCTGCCTCAAAGGCCAATCCTTAATTTCACTAGCATATCTGTCCTCTTCTAGCAGACCTATTAATATTGGATCAACTCAGAGTTTAATGAAGACCCTTTACTCTTTTTTATATTCTCCTCCTTGGAAATCTCATGCAGGACAGTGACTTTAAAGAGCAACTCTATTCTGATAGGGCTTCCCAGATGGCACAGTGGTAAGGAATCTGCCTGCAATGCAGGACACACCAGAGACATGGGTTTGATCCCTGAGTCATGAAGATCCCCTGGAGTAAGAAATGGCAGCCTGCTCCAGTATTCTTGCCTGGAAAATTCCATGGACAGGGGGGCCTGGGATGCTACAGTCGATGGGTTGTAAAGAGTCAGACATGCCTAAAAACACACATATATACTCTGATGACCCTCAAAAATATGTCTTCAACTTTGACTTCTCCACTCAACTCCAGACATACATAGTCTGTCTGTATGGACAACACCTCTCCTTCAATCTCTAAAAAAATCCTCTTATACTTGAGATGGGAGTTATTGATTCCCTTCAGCCCCCCAAAACAAACTAGTTCCAGTCCTTACCATCTCCATGAGTGGACTTTCCATTCGGGGCCACAGTAGGTTATTGAACATGTGGGCAGAACACAAGCAACACAGTAAAGAAGTTGGACAGAGCTTAGCGACCGAACAACAACAACAGTAAATGTTAGCCCCACTTTGAGTAAATCCATCGAGTTGCTCACACTAAAAACAAAGGTATCACCCTTGAGGTCTCTCATAACCTGCCTGTCGACCTCATTCTCTAATCCACTGATCTGCGACTCAACTGCATCTTAGTTCAGCCACCAACTTCTCCATCCTAAATCGGTACCACAGCCTGCAAACTGGCTTCACATTGACCCTTTGTTGTTGTTCAGTCACTAAGTCGAGTCTGGCTCTTTTTCGATCCTATGGAAAATAGCCTGCCAGGCTCCTCTGTCCACGGGATTTCCTAGGCAAGAATACTGGGCTGAGTTGCCATTCCCTTCTGCAGGGGATCTTCCCAACCCAAGGAAGTCTCCTGCCTTGGCAGGCAAATTCTTTACCACTGAACCACCTAGGAAGCCCCCACAGTGATCCTCGGGTCCCATAAAAATCACCTAGCAGCAAGAATGTTTTTATCGTAAAGGACACCACGCCTTTTTCTCCTGCCCAGATTCCTCTAACGGCTTCCGGGTGCACTCACACATGGACCCTTAGTTTACAGGCTCTATAAGGACCTGGCCTTTGCCAACTCTGCTCTCTGGCCTCAGTCACTCCACTACAGTCATCCTGGGCACTTTCTGTTCCTCAACAGTGACACACCACTAGATTTTTTTTTTTTAATGCACACTGGAGTTGCATTAAATGCATTTTGTGAAAAAAAAATGCATTTTGTAATGAACCCAAGATGGGGAAAAAAAAAGTACCATACCTTCATGTTACTGAAGTTCTTCTTGTATGTGTCTCGTTTCTGGAAAAGAGCAGCTGCAAATGGTGAAACTTGTAGACCCATCTGTGACATACACTCTATTTCTCTAAATAAGGTTAGTATCTGAGGATCAAAGTTTACGAACAGTTCCCCTGTGCCAGGAGCCTTCACCAATAAAGAAGCCTCAAGTCCTATGTGAATTTCTTCAGTCTGCGAGGAAAGAGCAACATTACTATTATTAGAGAGTTCAGTGCATATACAGGGTATCTAACTCATCCATTTCTGGGAATAAAGATTATTATGCGTCCTTTCATGGGTTTGAGCTTCGCAAACTAAAGACGATGGGGTCTCTTAACTCTTCTCCTAACTTCACTTTCAGGGGGGGAAAAAAAAGCCTTAAAACTCTTGGTGGTGATGTACAGTCAGTTCAACAAAATGCTTTGGTCATGAATCTCATATTTGATAAGTGGATACTGCAATAGAGGTGACTTCTCAAAAGTCACTTTGCTCCCTGATACCTTCATGCCAACTCAGTTATTTTTCCTAATAAAAGTTTCAGGAAACCAACTAAACTCAGTTTTCAGTTATCTAGAAAAGCAATGAAAAACACTACAGAGACATCTCTGTTATTGATTCAGACACCAAAAGTTGAACTAGGAAAGTGAGATACCATTTTAGAGGCCTTGTTAGGCTGAATTTTATCCTCCAAAATACTTCCTGCCAATCTACCAAGAAATATAAGTATTGGTAGGGTATGAAATATAATTTGATTAACCTAGTATGACCAAATAAAAACTAAAACTTTGCTTAACAGGCATGCTGGTGTTTATGGACACTTAATGGAGAAAAAAAGAGCCTAATGGAAAAACAAAAAAAGAAGTCCTAATCAACCAGGTAAAGAAACCAATAAACAAGACTTTCTTCCTTAGGAGTTTATAAATTAAATAAAAATAAGTTTCTGTTACCTGGCTTTATGATCTCTTTTCCAAAATTAAAAATTGTTTTCCTTCATGGATATATTATACCCTTTGACTGATTACTTGCAGTCAACCAACCCTGTCTTATAAAATGGACACAAAGTCAACTTTCTACAGGAGTAAAACTGCCCAAGGTAGCAGAGGATTCCCCAGGGATCTGACAGCAGCAGCATCCTAGAGCGTTAAGTCAGACTCACTTGCTGAAGCCACGCCCTGTGGTATAGAACCTCAAACTCCAGGAGGACCTTGGCCAGCCTGTTGTAACCGCGGATCACTGGCTTCGCTTCCGCAGTCCGGAGCACGGATGGGTGCTTCTGGAAAAGCTGCATCGGTTGCTGAATCCTGTGGAAGAGCTGCCGGGCCCACAGAATCTTCCCAGCAATGGGAGGCTGGTCTCGAGCCAAAGGCGGGTCGTTTTTCTGCTTTGTATACAGCTTCGAGATCATATCAATGTCAGCCCCGTAGTTTTCAAGGATACGCTGGTATTTGTCATCAATACCAAGATTAGGTATGTTCAATCTGTTATTTTTTTAAAAAGTGAAAGGCTTGAATTAATGGGATGATATTGAGAACTTCTGTCTATTAAGACCTATTTTAAACATATGCTGACATATTTATTATCTTTTTAACTGCATGCCAGGAGACTTGGTATCTTGTCTTTTCATTATTGTTTAGATCTAAATATATTTAAATTTCTAGGGGTTGTTTTATTCAAAAGACGAGACTTAAAAATTCTAAGCATACATTTTTGAGGTCTAATTTAATTGCATTGTGGTTAAAAAGCTTGGTCCATATGATAATGGGTATTTGAAAATTTTAATTCATTTTTATGGTCTCTTCCATGGTTATTCTTCATAAATATTGTTGTATGGAATCTATATATGTCCTGTAAGTGAAACTTGAAAATTGCATTTTTATATTTTTACTAATTTTTTGTCCTATCAATAAATAAAAGAACTACCTTTAACAGCCAAAAAAAGAAAAAAAAATAATATATATATATATATTTGCTGATGGAAGAGAATGAAGTATTTACTTGGCATGCTAAAAAAGCAAAATGGGGACCTCCTTGGCAGTCCAATGGTTAAAACTTCCCATTCCAATGCAGGGAGTGTGGGTTCGATCCCTGCTTGGGGAACTAAGATCCCTCACTCCTTGTGGCCCAAAACCAAAACATAAAACAGAAGAAACACTGCAACAAGTTCAATGTTTGCGAGTTGTTCAGTCACATCCAACTCTTTGTGATCCCACTGACTGTGGCCCACCAGGCTCCTCTGTCTACAGAATTCTCCAGGCAAGAATACTGGAGTGGGTTGCCATTCCCTTCTCCAGAATATCTCCCCAACCCAGGGATTGAACCCAGCTCTCCCCCATCACAGGCAGATTGTTTACCATTTGAGCCATAAGGGAAGTCCAAATTCAATAAAGACCTTAAAAATAAAATTATTTTTTAAAAAATCAAAATGGAATCTGTCCATCAATCATATGGCAATAGAGTGGCTGTGAGGGGGTTTTGTGTGTGTGTGTGTGTGTATTTTCTTTTTTATGTCTTGTGGGATCTTAGTTCCCCAGCCAGAAAGTGAACTTGGGCCCTTGGCAATGAAAATGCAGAGTCCTAATCACTGAACTGCCAGGGAATTCCCTGAAGTGTTTCATTTTTTTTTTCATATAGTATCAATAAATAGTGTCAATCCTTAAAACCTAGTCAAAACTATTGGTAAGAGTTTCTTCAAATTACTTAAACATTAACTGCTATTATGATAGGCAATCACAAGGTACTTCAAAACTGAAAGGAAATAAACCTGTAATCCTCTGAAGAACTTAAATCTGTGGTCTTGTTATTCAGATTATCAAGAGAGGATTTTCCTCCCATTAGAATATGAAATAATAATAACAATAATAATGTAAGCTAAACTATGTTCGTATTATCCCAATTTGGAAAACAGAACTTAGAAGTCTTTCAAATTTTTACCTTTCAAATTTCTTTAACATACTTAGAGCTTGATTTGTGTTTTGAATCTTTTCAAATGTAACATCCATGAACTTCTGCAACTCTTTCTGAAATAGAATGAAGTCTGACGATGAACAATGAGTTAGCATCGCAAAGAAATCTTATTTAGCAACAAGGTAAAAGAGCTTCCCCATTCTCTAAAAACACACACCCTACAGGACAAAATACAGTAGCAAATGTAATGCTCATCTAAGTTTAAAGAAAGATAAATGTCCAGAAGTCAGAACAAAGAGGGACTTGAGAGCCAGAGCAGTCAGGGGGGTTGGTGTCATGGCAGGACCCAGGGATACTGGACCATATATTTCCATGGCAAACATCACATCTTAGGACCATGAAATCTTCCTGAACTGAAGAACTGCACAGTTAGCCTACCTAAATAAACCCTCAGATGTTATCACTATATAAAAGTATCCAAGTATAAAAACTATGCAGAACTAGCACATTCACAATGCTTCCACTCCCTCCCTTTAATTTATACAAAGATACACAAATAGACAACAAGCACATGAAAAGATGCTTAGTATCACTAATCATTGTGCTCAGTCGCTAAGCCATATCAGACTCTTTGTGACGCTGTGGACTGTAGCCCACCAGGTTCCTCTGTCCCTCTCTCTAACTTGGGACACAGTAAATCTTTACGGGGCTTCCCTGGTACTTCAGATGGTAAAGAATCCACCTGTCCTCCTTATAAGTTCTCTAGGACTTGTTTGGAACATGTCAACTTATCTTTGAATCCTCACTTGCTGGTACAACATCAGATTATTATACTTTTATAGTTAGTCATTTTAGCCACTATTTTCCCTTTTTAAGATATATTCATTACTTTGTTCTAACATATATGTACTTATATTTCAATCATGTTACATGTCAGATATGATCTTTGAGGACCAATCAACTCTATGTACTTCTATACCCATAACATACAGCATAGAAGCCTAATATGCATTTAATGTACAGTCAATGCATGTTTAATTACAATAAATCTAATTCTTATGTTTTGCTATCATATCCATAATTATCTTTCTTTTCCATTTTTTCTTAAAACAAACATCTCATTGTGCCATTTAGTTTATGTGCCATTTAAAGTAAAAGCTGTGGTTTTTTTCAGATCTGATGTCCCTAGTATATGTGGGACTTGGATGTGATTTCCTTAAAGGTTCAGTTCAGTTCAGTTGCTCAGTAGTGTCTGACTCTTTGCGACCCCATGGACTGCAGCACACCAGGCCTCCCTGTCCATCACCAACTCCCAGAGTTTACTCAAACTCATGTCCATTGTGTCGGTGATGCCATCCAACCATCTCATCCTCTGTCATCCCCTTCTCCTCCTGCCCTCAATCCCTCCCAGCATCAGGGTCTTTTCAAATGAGTCAGCTCTTTGCATCAGGTAGCCAAAGTATTGGAGTTTCAGCTTCAACATCAGGTTATGCTCCACTTTTTAAAGGTTATACTCCATCTATAGTTATCATAAAATATTGGCTATATTCCCCATGTTGTACAACATATCCTTGTAGCTTATTCTATACCTAACAGCTTCTACCTCTTAGTCTCCTACCCCTATCTTGCCTCCCCTTCTCTCTCCCCACTGGTAATCACTAGTTTGTTCTCTGTATCTATGAATCAGATTCTATTTTCTTATATTCACTGCTTTATTGTGTTTTTTAGATTCCATATATAAGTGATGTCACACAATTGTCTTTCTCTGCCTGACCTATTTCACTTAGCATAGTCTGATGGTGGTGGTAGTGGTGATTGAGTGGCAAAATTATATCCGACCCTTTGCCACCCCTTGGACTGCAGCCCACCAGGCTCCTCTGTCCATGGGGATTCTCCAGGCAAGAATACTGCAGTGGGTAGCCATTCCCTTCTCCAGGGGATCTTCCTGACCCAGAGACAGAACCTGCAGCTCCTGCATTGCAGGTGGACACTTTACCACTGAACCACCGGGGACTAGTTCTCATTAATTCACAAATCATAAACTAATTCAGCAAACATTCTTTGGTCTCCAATTATATAAAGTCCCATCCCCTAGGGCCTGGAGACATAGATAGGAATGAACACAATTCCTGCCCTCAAGGTGTTCACCATCTACTTATATCCAGCATATGGACTACTCAAGTACTATGTGATCACAAAGTGCCAGGACACACAAACGAAGACTGGACAAATCAACACTGACCATGGAACACAGGCTCAGGATCTACCATTACTCATCAGCTTCCAGCAAGAGATCAAGAGCCACAGACCTTATGCCTGAATCAGCCCCCAAAGAGGTCATTGCTTAGATTATTACAGGCACTCTATCTTTCCATCACCTGAAATTTGTCTTATAATGGTTAAAAACCTGAATCCTAGAGCCAGACTGCCTACCACTCAACATCTCTGTGACTGTGGGCAAGTCACTTAACTTCACTATGCCTCAGTTTCCTCCTTTCCAGAAAGAGTGTGATAAGAGGACACATTTTATCAGATTATTGTGAGTATTAAGTGAATTAACACCTACAAAGTGCCTAGAACAGACCTGACATACAGTTAGTAAGTTTTATTATAATGCCTTCTCCGCTGAACCCATCCCTCCAAAAATGACTCAGAGCTCTTTCTCCCTTGAACTATACAAGCATATTTCAAGCCAAAAATTCTGGAAAAGAAGGAACAGAACAGCCATTTTCATTTTATCGCCTGAAAGCATGGAAAGAAGTCTGCACATTGATTAAGGTGGACATCCATTAGTGTGTCTCCCAACCTTACCCTCCCTGGTTCTCCTCATCTGGTAATAAATACACCCAGCCACAGCAAGGAGTCCCATGCCCTCTGCATTTACCATATGACCCCACAGGAACAAGGCATAACACTGGAACTCTGACCAACCCAACCCATCCTTAGACATTGGGAGCTAAGAGTGGGTCCATGGTATGTCCTCAGAAGCTGCTGATGGCTGTAACCTGCTCCTGTGGGCTGATCTGCAGTGAGCAGAGAGAGTGGGGGAAGCAGGAGGAAGGGCAGGAGAATGAAGAGAACGGGGCTTTGAGACCAAGAGGGGTCAAGGTACTGAGTCAGCCCTAGTACCACTGTTTCAAGGCCAGCTAGACTCCTGCTTTTGGGATCCATCAAACATCGCTGACCATTTGCTCAAGCTATCGTTGGTCATAATCACTGCTATAAAGTAACAAACAAATGGAAACGAATTTCTTTATTCTAATAACACTACATTTCAACAGAGGATAACAGTTAATTTTCTAAGATCTAAAATGAAATACATGCAGAAATCTGTGATTACAGCTTGTTATCCAAAGCTGTATTTATAACCCTTTAATCCATGAGAAAGAACCTTCAATTATTCATCTGAAATCATAAAATGCAGGCCAAGCTCGCTATTGGTCACCTCCGTGATGAAGATGCCTCTTCCTTCTGAATGGGTAATGATTAGCAGCAAGACACAGAATGGAAAAAGTAAACACCAGACTGCCAACAGGAATTTTATTATACAACCTACATGAAGGTCATTAATCTGCTTGCAAAACTCTTCATAATCCTGCTCGAATTCCATTTTCCGCTGGTCTAAGAAATTATACTCCTTTTTCTTTATGGTAGCAACAACACCCTGAAATAGTAGGAAACAAATAAGACAATATCTCAATGTTCTTGCATTATTTACATAAATATGACCTTTAGAGTCTGTGCAATCATCCCCCAAAAATCAACTTAAAGAGGAGCCATATATCTTTAACTATTCTTGTTGCGTCATGCATATTATAGGTAGTACAGTGTTGCCTGGTGCATTCAGAGAAACCACCTGGAAGCATTTTCATGAGACTTTATGTATTTCTGAAGAAAAATTTTAAATCAATAAAAGCACATCTAAAAAGTAGATGTTCTGTCTAAAAATTTCTTACAAATTACATCAGAAATAATAAAAAAAGAAGCCTAAAGTAGAATTTGCTAAAATATTTTTCATTAAAAAGTTTGTCTTCTCAGAAAATAGACTTTAACAGAATGCAAACAACTTAGGAAGAATGCAATTATATTATAGTAGCTACAGGTGAAAAACTACCTTCCAAGCTTCAAATGTCCTAAATAAAATATCAAACCACAATCTACCATTTAAAGAATCTCTAGAATTAATTGCTTCCTCCTGCCCTGAAAAGCTGCAGTCTGTGACTATAAGAGTACAAATTAGGTAACTCATCTTCTTGAAAATACTATTATCTGAAGTTTTGTTTACTCTGAATAATGAGCTCTAATGCTCTGTGATCATTCTTAACCAGGTACTAAGCCATTCTCAAAGTCGGGTGCCCACACTGTTGACAGAGGCATATAATTTTTATGAAGAATGTTGGACCAGCTTCCACAAAGGCCTCTTCAAAGCCATTTTCATTTAAACATTAACTCAAACCTCTCAATAGACAAAAGTGCCTAAGTTGCATAAATTCCTGAATCAAGTTTACTACTGTATATACAATTTATAATTGTATAATCAAGTTTACAATTGCATATACAGTTATATATACATACAATTGTATGTACATATATATGCACATAGTAGTACTATATGTAGTACTTAGTCACCTAGTCATGTCTGACTCTTTGCTACCCCATGGACTGCAGCCCACCAGGCTCCTCTGTCCATGGGGATTCTGCCATGCCCTCCTCCAGGGGGCAAGCCCAACTCAGGGATCGAACCCAGGTCTCCCACATTGTAGGTGGATTCTTTACCGACTGAGCCACCAGGAAAGCCCCAAAGATACAGGCTGCAGCTTGGTGGTGGTGGTTTAGTCGCTAAGTCATGTGTGACTCTTGTGACCCCATGGCCTGTAGCCTGCCAGGCTCCTTTCCCCACGGGATTCTCCAGGTAAGAATAACGGAGTCAGTTGCCATTTCCTTCTCCAATATATGTATACAATTGCATGTGTATATATACATATATAATTGTATACATAAAATATATGTATGCAATTGCACATGTGCTATTGCATGGAAATACCAGTATTCTTGCCTGAAGAATTCCTTGGACAGAGGAGCCTAGTGGGCTACAGTCCACAGGATCACAAAGAGTTGGACACAACTAAGCGCAGCATGCAATTTTATACATATACACACAATTATATATAATACAACTACATATATATAATGATACCCATCATATTATAGGAAATGTATAAAAGAAGCATGGAAAAGCTATATTCCTACATGTTCAGGTGGTATTTTAAAGGATTTGGGGCCCTTAGAAAATTCTACTCTATAAATGGATTTAATGGTCCACTTAAAAATACTGAGTAAATAAACTGATCAACCACGACCTTTAAACCATCTAATCAAACTCAACCTACTAAATCATTTACTTGTCAGATATTTATTGCACACCCATTATATGCCAGTAAACTTTGCAGATACAGGAATGAACAGAACAAAGAAACATCCCCACCATCAGGAGCTTTTATATCTTCAGTGGGGAAAGGGGAGATCTAGGTTTATCACAAAAAATGAACAGGATAGATTCAGACAGTGATAAGTAACATGACACAGAGTGAGGTAAAACAGAGATTAAGGAAAACTTAACTGAGAGGGTATTTAATCAAGATCTGGAGGCCAAGGAGGAAAGAATCATGTGATGATTCGGAGGCAGAACTTTCCAGAAGAAAGGCTCTGCAAGCCCGAAGATGGGCTGAGGTGGCCTGTCCTGTGTCCGGAGAACACTGAATGAGGAGACGAGGAGCAGGTCAGGCGGCCGGGGGTGGACAGGACCCTGAAGCCATACAAGGAACCTCAGGGTCATTTCCATGGCCACCATTTTGAGCTTCTTCCATTGGTTGTAACATACAAAAATCTCACCTTACACTTTCACAAACCATCTACATTTTATCTCAATACACTCTGATACATCCGCTTTAGATTCTGAAAGCAATTTTTCTTCCCAGTATTTTTATCAGATTAGAATGGCCTTTATCTGCATTTGGCTATACAGTTCAACTTCTCCTTCAAAAATAAACTTTGAAATATGCTCCAAAGTTATTTTTTCATTAAGAATGAAAACTAATTAGATTCCAAACTGAAAAATAAATGGATATAGTTCATCTCTGTCGTGCACAACTGTCAGTTTCAAAGAACAGATTATCCACCTTGAAGATTACATAAAGCTCAGCAAAAATATTTCCTGGTAGGTAGAAAAGGTTTTTCTTTTTCCCCCTGAATCTGATATACTCAGGAAACGAAAAGATTCCTTATACTGACCTAAACTGTTAGAGGAGAAAAATCAATGAGTGACAGTAAATTATATGCTCCTTTTCAAATTCAAGGACAAAAAGAAAAACTAAGGTTTAGTGTCACTGTCCCCAAACAAGAAAAAACTGACTATATTCATTATTAAATTCATGTTAAAATTCATGTTAAAAACATGAATCCATATAAAATGCTTAACTGCAGATATAATCAGATATCACTCAGAATTCAGTGTCAAGTAGAGCCTAACACAGTATATGTGATTAAATATTTCTTACATGAATAAATGAAATAATAAGTTATATTTAAACATTTTTCTTGTGCTACTAATGAAAACGCTTTTACTAATGATGATTAATTTTAGACTATTGGGAAGTCATTCTTATAATCACATACCTGAAAAGAATATATTAGCACCATTGCACAATGCTCAAATAAATTTAACTGCTTTATTGTTTAAGGGCCATAAGCTTATCTTTTGCATTAGAGACTATAATCTGAAGCATTCTAAATGGTCATTTGCATAAAAACATTAAAATTTTATTCATGGATAAGAGTAGCAAATTGAGTTTTGAAGTACAGTACCTGGTATTTAGTGATCATGTTTTCCAGCCCTTCAATTTTAGAATCTTGCAGGACTGAGTATGTCTTGAAGGTTGTAAAGATATCCATTATCTTGGCAAGACGTCTGTGGAAAGTTTCAAATTTCCCAAAAATATACATCTCACTGAATTCAAATTGTTTTTCACTTGGATCTTGTTTAAGCTTTTGTTTTGTCTTGTGAAAGCAGCGCTGGTATTCCTTAAAATTAAGAACCAAAATACAAGAAAGGGAACACAACAAAGACATCAGCCTTATTCTCTTAAGTGAAGGTGATAGCAAATTTAGGGTGGAATTACAAAATCTTTCCATTTCATACCTCTGTAGTCACTCACTCATCAGCCTGGGATGTCATCTTTTCCTGGCCCCCAGCCTAGCAAACTCCTAATTTATTTATTTATTTATTTATTTTGCCATGAGGCATGCAGAACTTCTCCGACCAGGGATTGAACCTGTGCCCCCTGCATTAGAAGCTCAGAGTCTTAACCACTGGACCACCAGGGAAGTCCAAACTCCTAACTATTCATAATATATCTCAAAGATGCAAGCCTTTCCACCTGGGTCTCACTGTGTTAGGAGAAGCCTAACTTCATCTAGTTCCCTGTTTGTCTATAAGAAGCTTAAGGAAACAACTTCATCTTTGTATCTCTAGTACCTAGTGTGGTGTTGGGACATAGAAAGTCCCCTAAAGGGTAAAGTAAGTGAATAAATATGGGGGGCTGATTTACTAACATTCAACTTTTCTTAACAGTGAAAGATTACCATTCTTTTTAGCAACCACTAATATGATAACTGGGCTTCCCAGGTGGCACTAGTGGTAAAGACCCTGCCTGCCAATGCAACAGCCATAAGAGACTCGTGTTTGATCCCTGGGTCGGGAAGATCCCCTGAAGGAGGGCATGGCAACCCACTCTAGCATTTTTGCTTAGAGAATCCTATGGACACAGGAACCTGGTGAGCTACAGTCCATAGGGACGCAAAGTTGGACACAACTGAAGCAACTTCATATGCAACCACATGATATGATAACTGATAGATTATTTAACTGGTGGGACTTTCACGGTGGCCCAGGGGTTAAGAATCTGTCTGGCAATGCAGGACACAAGTTCGATCCCTGGTAGGGGAACTAGGATCCCACATGTTTTGGAGCAACTAAGTCTGCACGTCGCAACTAGAGAGTCTGTATACAGCAAGAAAATATCCCACACGATGTAATGAAGATACCCCATGCTACAATTAAGACCTGACACAGCCAGATAAATAAATACTTTTTTTAAAAAGGTATATTGGCAAAAAACAATGTAAAAATAATTTTAAAATTCTAAGTATATTATTAAGTTGACTGTTACCTGCTTAAGTTTAATTGCAGATAGTATTTTTTCCACAACAACATCCTGTGGCTGGCTCCAGATTGAAGCAGTTCCGTTGTTGGTAATATAGGCTTTACATGCAGATATCATCTGATTGGTCACCTGGAATTTTTCAATGAAATGATGTCAAGTATAGTAAGCAGGCATCAAGCATAAACTGGGCTAGAGGATCCTCGGCTCTTCTAACCTCTCCGAATATGACATCTGTGAATAAATCTTTGGGTTTATGTTTTTCCTTCACAACTGTGATCAAGCACTAACTCTATTTTTTTCCAGCTTTACTGAGGTATAATTGACAAATGAAAATTGTATACGCTTAAGGTTTACCAGTGATGCTTGGTATACATATTCATAACGGAATGATTAGCACAATCAAGTATTAACACATCCAACACCTCACATAATTACTATTTGTGTGCGTGTGTGTTGAGAAAACTTAAGATCTGCTCTTTAGCAGATTTTCAACTATACAATAACAGTACTAAGCATAGTCACCAAGCTGTACATGGGGCTTCCCTGATAGCTCAGTTGGTAAAGAATCCGCCTGCAATGCAGGAGACCCCAGTTGGATTCCTGGTCCAGGAAGATCCCCTGGAGAAGGGATAGGCTACCCACTCCAGTATTCTTGGGCTTCCCTTGTGACTCAGCTGATAAAGAACCTGACTGCAATATGAAAGACCTGGGTTCAATCCCTGGGTTGGGAAGATCCCCTGGAGAAGGGAACGGCTGCCCACTGCAGTTTTCTGGCCTGGAAAATTCCATGGACTGTATAGTCCATGGGGTCACAAAAAGTCAGACTTGACTGAGCGACTTTCACTTTCACTTTCAAGCTGTACATTAGACCCCAGAACTTGGTCATCTTACAACTTTAAGCTTGCAGCCTTTGACCAACATCTTCCCATTTTCCACACTCTCCCAGCCCCTGGCAACCACCCTTCCACTCTCTGCTTCTAGTCAACCTTTTTAAGTTCTACACATCTATTATCAAAATGATTCGTAAAGTCGCAGAGTTGGAGGTCTACAGAAAATCAACAATTCAGACCATCATGTTAATGCAGGATGAACATCTTAACCAACGAAGAAAGGATTCACTTCCCTACCTAAAAGCTATCAAGAGCTTTCTTAGTCTTCTTCAGCAGCCTTCTCTAAAATCTAACTCACAGTTTCCAAGTGCCATGAAAAGAACTGTCCACCCTGATCATTTCATGACACCATGATCTGTAGCAGAAATGTCAAAAGCAGAAGACAATAGAAAAAAGAGTAAATATAAAGTATGTAAAGCCAACGCTTTATCCCTTTAAACCTAAAAAAAAACTGTGGAATTCTACTGGGGATTTTTTTAATTAATTAAAAGGAAAATGGGATGACCGTACTGTATGTATGCCTGGGATTGCAGTGCAAAGGTTAGGTGAAACATGACTGGGCATGTGTTGATAGTGGGTAATCTGGGTGATACATACAAGGGGATCCAGTATACAATTATATTTCCTTTTGTACCTGCTGCAAATTTTTCACAATGAAAGGTTTTCGAAAATGAGAGAAATGGTGCTTTCACAGTTATGTTCTAAAACAAGCCTTGCAAATAAAATGCATGAAACCTGGACATGCATGGGAACACAAATTGACTTTTGAGTCTTCTACTCAGGAACAGCAGCACATAAAATATGAAACTGAAGATAGCCAGTTATATATAGCTTTTCTTAATTAAAATTTACCCAATAGGAAGAAATCATGTGCTAAATAACATAGGGAAAGAAATTCTAAAAAGAATCTTTTTCCATTTTTTATTACATAAACAATATAATATCTTTTACAATTATTACTTTGGAAAATAACGCTTTATGATTTGCCAAAATCAGCTTCTCATGTATGTTTAATTCTATTTCTATCAAGAGATTAAGACTTTTTGGTAAATTGTAGGATACACAGACATTGGATTATGCCAATGTGGTAATTTCTAATTATAAAAAACAAAATTAACCATTGACAAGGAAATCTAAGTGAACATGGACTCTATGCTAGGCTCTTACCTTTACAAACAGAGATGTGATCTTCTCAGAGGTGTTATAGTAATGAGAGATACTGTAGATCATTTTAATTGCATTTACAAGAGTAGGAATAGCATCAATCATGGATATCTGGAAGACAGCACAAAACTTTTCAGGGAAACATATCAAAGTCAGCAAAATTCTAACAGAGTAATCACTGTCCTCATTAGAATAAAACGTAGGTAAAAAACTTTTATTTAAATTTTAAAATATTATCTAACATGTTCTATAAATATAACACATTGAGAGGTAATTTCATCTTAATTATTTAGCTATATTCAGTGAATCAAATTTTGTCTCAATGCAAGAAACATTAACATTCTGTTAAGGTCAAGGAGGTTGTGTTAACAGTTAATTTTGTAATAAATAAAACAAGGCACATCCGAAAGTTAAAAGATTTTTTTAAAAAATCAGCCAATAAATCTTCCCACCATTGTTTTGAATGTAGTCTAGGATGTCAATTGTCAATGGGAAATGGGATATACAATATCCCATTTCCCCAATTGTCAATGGGAAATGGGATATACAATATCCCATTTCCCCAATTGTCAATGGGAAATGGGATATACAATAAATTTTTTAACAATATAATATATATCTCAGAAAACATCAGAAAAATATATATATTTATGTAGAAAGAGATACATAGAAATAGACAGGTATATGTATGTATATGTGTATGCATATAGATGCACATATAATTTTCTTGATAATAAAAAGAGGTTTCTAAGACTTTTCCAACAAACTGTAATATTCATGAACCAAAATTCCACACTCATTTCAGCTAGTATAAAAGGGTCCTGAGTAGACTAAAGAGGCAGAAATCTCAACTCACAGGGTCACTACTGTACAAGGGGTCACAGCACTTCTCAAGTGTATACAGATACTTGACATTGTCCTTTGCTTCATTAGCTGCATCAGTGACTCGAATGTCCGTCTCCCGCCACGTCTAAGCACAGTACAGGAAGGAAATTTTAATGCAATGATTAATAGAGAAAATTCCAACTAACGACTGCATAAATGTCATCACAAGTCCCAGGGGTCCAACTTTCAGTCTGTCCTGTGCCTCTTACATAGAACTCAGTCCAGAGGGGTGAGGGGCCCTGCCACGCTGGAGAGCAATTAAAACTTTTTGACTAAATGTTTAAAGGTATCTCTTCCAAGCCTTTGCTCATGAAATCTAGTCAATAACTAGGACAGAACATCAGGGGGCGGGGGCAGGGGCAGCACTTTCATTTTCACCTACACTGTCTTCTCCACAGCCTGCTGAATTCATTTTGCACCTCACTCTGACATCTTCTATGACCAAGAACTGAAGGAAGCCTCTAGCCATCAGACAGCAAGGAACTGAATCCCACATGGGCAACCTGGAGGAAGATCCTCCCCCAGTCAGGCCTTCAGATGAGCCAACATCCTGACAACAACCTTAAGAGATCTCCAGTCAGATGATCCCAGCTAAGCTGCACCGAGGGCTTCCCAGGTGGCCCAGCAGTAAAGATTCCGCCTGCTAATGCAGGAGATGCAGGTTCAACCCCTGGGTCAGGAAGACTCCCTGGAAAAGGAAATGGCAATTTGCTCCAGTATTCTTGCCAGGGAAAGTATTCTTGCCTGGGAAAGCCCATGGACAGAGGAGCCTGGTGGGCAGCGGTCCATGGGGTGGCATAAGAGTTGGACACAACTCAGTGACTACAGTCAGCCAGTTCAGTCGCTCAGTCGTGTCCGGCTCTTTGCGACCCCATGAATCGCAGCACGCCAGGCCTCCCTGTCCATCACCAACTCCCGGAGTTTACTCAAACTCATGCCCATCGAGTTGGTGATGCAGTGACTACAAGCTGCACCTGAACCCCTGACCCGCAGGCTATGAGATAATATTTATTGTTTCAGGTGGTGAAGTTTTGGAATAATTTGTTACACAGGGATATAAAACAAATACACCAGTTCTAAAAAAAAAAAATTTAGAAGAGTTTAGCCTTCATTATTACTACTCTTCGTTGGTCTGAATTCATAATATATAATCATGTTATTATGTTACATATTAATGACTTACAATGTCCTGTAGTAATACAGATACATACGTGTGCGTGCACATGTGTTCATCACTAAGTTGTGTCCAACTGTTTGTGACCCCCAGGGACTGTAGCCCACCAAGCTCCTCTGTCCATGTGATTCTCCAGGCAAGAATACTGGAGTGGGTAGCCATTCCCTTCTCCAGGGGGGTCTTCCCCACCCAGAGATCAAATTCAGGTCTCCTGCATTGGGGGTGGAATCTTCACCATCTGAGCCACCAGGGAAGCCCATACATACATGTATACCAGCCAATAAATACCTTTCATTCAAAGGCTATTTCTATAGTTTGCAAAATTACCAAAGGGTGGTATCATTTAATCTTAAAGTTACTTTTTCATTAAGGTAGAATAACATTTTTCTGTTCCTAATTACTCTATGACATATGTGTAAAGAACTTCCATTCCCACTTCATAAAGCAAAAGGTAACCTTCAGAAGTTTCGACTTGGCAGCAGCAAGCACTGCCAATACAGCCTTCACATCTGGGCTCTTCAGTTGATCCAAAAGGTAGTTAAATTTAGACAGTCTTTTTTTCCAGTACTCCAACTCTGCTCGAGGCCCAAGGTCATCTGCCTCCTTCCTCAGCTGGTTGTTTTCAGCAAGGACCTGTGAATGCACAGGAGAACCGTGAGCCGGTGACTCGGCTGGAGATTTAAAAGTTACACACAAGCAAAATATTAGGAAAGAAGTAAATTCTGCTCTCTGAGTTATGATATATTTTTATTCATTTGCCTGCTTCGAATGACATCCTTTTACTAACCTGAGATGTATCCATTTTTTAAATTTTAACAAGAATTTGGTTTACTCATTCTAAGTGAAAACTACTTGTTTAAGGAGCTTTCATAAACTTTTGGAGAACCTGATCTCAGAAACTTTCTCTGGCTTATTCACTTAGAACCTCGGAGAAATACAACCTTGCAAAGTTCGCATGCCTTCAGTTGGTTAATTTCCATTATGCTTCCTTACTGATGTAACACCCAGCTTTCACTTTTCTGAAAATATTTTTTTAAAGATTAAGTCTCAAGCTTTGTTTTGGAAGACCCATTGAATTAGAAAGTTTCCTATACTACAGGCATTCTCTCCAAACTACATCTTGAGAGAAAAAACTGGCCAACTGCAGGCTTTTAGGTAGATAAGTATATAAAGTCATTTACTGTCATCTCCTAGAATTCTTATTATCTCTTCTTAACTAATGATGACAAATTAACATTGCAATGAACCTTTCATCTCTTTTAGGGACTTGCAGCAAAATACTTAGACAGATGGGACTGGGATGTGATCTAACCCTCTTCCACTGGCTGGTTCAGTCACATGGCATGTGAACTAGTCAATGTTCAGAGAGCTAGTTTCTGATGTTTGATTTCTGAAAATTACCTGTTCTGTTTGTTTGATCCATACTTTCATACAACCTTCTATTTTTTCCATAGTCTCAGGGTTATTAGCTAGAGTCAAGAAGTCTATGGGTTCCTTCAATGTTTTCAGTTCAAATATGTCACACTTTTGAAGGTTCACCTAATTACAATGAAAGTTAAAGAATAAGATGATGTTACTTTACACTACACACACACATACACACACTCTTTCGGTTGATCCAGAAGGATCTTAAGGAGATTCTAACAGCCCTGCTCCCCGGGGAAATGCTCATGAAATCAGTGTGGGAATCCTCCTTAGGCATTGAGCACACCAGTAAACCTGATTGGTCTGAATTAAAATTTGGGGTCAAAAAAATAGAAGAGTGAACTAGAGACAGACAGACACAATATCACAGAACTCAGAAATTGATAGAAAACTTAGAAATTAGAGTCAACCCATGAAACCAAAGAAAATGGGGACCTTCAAAAAATGACTGAGGGGAGGGTAATCTATAATCTATCACATCTTTTTTGAAACTAACCAGAGGGAAAGACTCTCATGTCCCTGTCCAGGGGAAAAAAAAAAAAAAAACCCTTATAGTTAGCAAGTTCAATGGCAAATACACAGATTCATTTGGGGATGGAGGGGTGAGGAGGGGTGAAGAGTGGTAGGAAAGAAGGTGTGTCTGATTTTGACTTAACAGAGAAAGTTAAGGGGACTTCCCTGGCAGTCCAGTGGTTAAGAATCCATGCTTCCACTACAGGGGAGCTGGGTTTGGCCCCTGGTTGGGGACCTACCCCATGCAGGGCACAGCCAAAAAAAGAAGAAAAGAAACCCACGGTTTTTTTAACTCCCCTCATAATTCAGTTGGTAAAGAATCCACTTGCAACACAGGAGACCCCGGTTCAATTCCTGGGTCAGAAGATCCGCTGGAGAAGGGATAGGCTACCCACTCCACTATTCTTGGGCTTCCCTTGTGACTCAACTGGTAAAGAAGCAGTAAAGTTGCTCTGTTGTGTCCGACTCTTTGCAACCCCATGGATTGTAGCCTACAAGGCTCCTCCATCCATGGAATTTTCCAGGCAAGAGTACTGGAGTGGGTTGCCAATATGCCTGCAATGCAGGAGACCTGGGTTTGATCCGTGGGTTGGGAAGATCTGCTGGAGAAGGGAAAGGCTACCCACTCCAGTATTCTGGCCTGGAGAATTCCATGGACTGTATAATCCATGGGGTCACAAAGAGTCGGACACGACTGAGCAACTTTCACTTTCAACTCAAAAGCCTGGAGAAGGCAATGGCAACCCATTCCAATACTCTTGCCTGGAGAATCCCATGGACAGAGGAGCCTGATGGGCTATAGTCCAGAGGGTCACAAAGAGCTGGACACGACTGAAGCGACTTAGTATGCACACACGTGATCCAGAAGTACCTCAGTATTTGATAAGGGCATCTTCCTCCTGGGAAAGGTGCAGCTAGCCCTTTGAGCCTCTAAATTCAGGTTTCAGCAGCACCCGCCCAACACTGCACCCTCCACCTGCCGTGGTTCCTAGACCTGGCCTTGGTTTTATGGGGGAGGCTTCTGCGTTTCACAAAGTGGCACCGCCTCCCTCCTGGGTGAGATCCAGCCACTTTTTTTAATACCTCTACCACAATGTGAAATGCAACCTGGAAAAGCAATACTCTTTTCAGGAGAAGAACTATTGAATTTGGTTCAACTTGCATTTAGGTGGCCTGCATCATAGTCAACTGCGAATATAACTCAAATGTTTGCTGGAACCGTCTCCCCGTGTCTGGCTATCATTTACTCAACTCCCTCATCCCACATCATTAGAAAGCCTACTGTCTGCCTCCCTGCCAACATCCTAATGGGTCCCAAAGGGTCTCAGTATTCCCTGGAGAGCAGTGAGCACTACCTTGTCGTTGGTCTCACGGGATCCGTTTCTGTATCTCCCACTCATGCCTGATCAGGGCTGTCATCTGTCATGGTTTTGCATTCACCATGCAAAAGCATCTACCCCACCTTCTACCCCAAGGTAGCACTAACACAGGCTCACTATAGGCAGCACAAATATCGACGCCAAATCCCACTAATGCCAAACGTATTCTTTGTGTGTGTGCGTGTGTGTGTGTGTGTGTGGTTGTGCTGGGTCTTCCTTGTGACACGCAGGCGTCTGTAGTTGCAGCACATAGGCTTAGCTGCAGTATATGGGATCTGAGTCCCCTGACAGCGGGGCTTCACCGATGGCTCAGACAGTAAAGGATCTGCCTACAGTGAAGGAGACCTGGGTTCCATATCTGGGTCAGGAAGATCCTCCGGAGAAAGAAATGGCTACCCACTCCAGCATCCTTCCTCCTTATTATGTCTTTAAAAATCAAGTAGTCTCTGCTTCACTTCAGACAGAAAAGAATCCATCTGCCAACACAAGAGACCCAGGTTCAATCCCTAGGTCTGGAAGATCCCCTGGAGAAGGAAAAGGCAACCCACTCCAGTATTCTTGCCTGGAGAATTCCATGGACAGAGGAGCCTGGCAGACTAAAGTCCATGGGGCTGCAAAGAGTTGGACATGACTAAGCGATTAACACTTTCAGTTCCCTGACAAGGGATTGAATCCAGGCCCCCTGCATTTGGCACATGGAGTCTTATCCACTGGACCACCAGGAAAGTCCGTGCCAAACTTACTCTTAATGGCCATTTTGATCACTGGCTGGACCACAGGACCCAACCCACTGTCTTCAGATATATCCATTCCTCTCTCCTGCCTCTTCAAAATTTCCTCCCATCCCTACCATCATCACCCCCCAACCTCCCCACTACCACCACTACCACCCCCAAAACACACACCACACTCTGGCTCCAAATTTCTCCTTCTAAGTTGCAAAGCAATACCAGAAGCACTTCATATTCTTCTTGCAGTCCAACATCTGACATGACAGAGTAAAACTCTCCACCATGGCCAATATTTCTAAAGAACCCACAAAGCACTCATTGCTCCAAATGACAGGAGTTTAAATCTAGTCACCACCACATCTTCAGGGGACAATAAAGCACGCAGAATACATTTTCAAGATTTGCAAAGTAGTGGAATCAAGACCCTCTAAGAGAAGTTCTACATACCTAGGTGTTGATTTGTTCACCATCAGATACTTTTTGAAGGAATAACACAGTTGTTCTTACCTTCTCCTTCAAACTCTCCTGCGCACTGGCCAGGATGCTCACAAAGCCTTCCAGGGAGCCCAGGAACTCCTGCTGAAGGCTGGAGGCTTCCGGAAGGCCTTTGAGCTCGCCCCAGCCATGGCTTGTGGCTCTGAGAGCAGGAATGAAGATGTCAGACAGCAAACGTCTCATGCTGTTGAGCAGACCCCCGTCTGCAGTGTCAAGCATGTTGAAGCTCACCTCCTGCAAAACAATGGGGACTTTTTACCTTTATCGTAAAAAGTATCTTCAACTGCAACCTAGCTACTGTCACTTGTAAATGAAGACATGCCAAATGAGTGAAGCAGGGGCTTCCCTGGTGGTCCAGTGGCTAAGACTCCACACTCCCAACACAGGGGGCCCAAGTTTGATCCCCAGTCAGAGAACTAGATCCCACATGCCACAACTAAGACCCAGTGCAGCCAAATAAATAAATGTGCCATGCTGTGCTTAGTCACTCAGTCATGTTTGACCCTCTGCGACCCCATTGACTGTAGCCCTCCAGGCTCCTCTGTCCATGGGATTTCCCAGGCAAGAATACTGGAGTGGGTTGCCATTTTCTCCCCAAGGGATCTTCCTGACCCAGGGATCAAACCTGGGTCTCCTGTCAATTCAGTAAATTATTATTCTGACCCCTAGTTAAGACATAAGCTTTATACTAAATTGCAATCATTGAAATAAAAGCATGAAATAAATAGAACACCAGATGTTTACCAGTTAATTTGCTGCAAGCAGACAAGGCCCCCGTTGAGGGCAGAGGAGACTTGTATAGATGCTCTTTATTCTACACAAAAAAATAAAGTTACAGAGTTGACCCTTGAGCAATGTGGGAGCTATGTGCACCCACCCTCCATGCAATCAGAAAATCCAAGTATAACATATACTTGGACCTCCGTATCCGAACTTCCTTATTCCTGGTTCCGCATCCTCAGATTCAGCCATGGACCATAAAATACTGTAGTATTTCTAACAAAAAAATATCCATGTATAAATCAACCTGAGAAACTCAAACTTGTGCTGTTCAAGGGCATATCTGATTTAATAAATCTTAATTTAAATGTATGAAATTTGCCATTAAGTAAATTATGTACCGGAAATTCTTGTTTAATATTCATTTATTTATTTGGCTGCACTGGGTCTTAGCTGTGGCACTCAGGATTTTTAGTTGCAGCTTGCCAATTCTTAATTATGGCATGTGGGATCTAGTGCCCTGGCCAGGGATTGAACCTGGGCCCCCTGCAGTGGGAGTATGGTGTTTAAGCTATTGGACCATCAAGGAAGTTCCAGGAAATTCTTTTTAAAAGAAAAAATTCTCCCTGTATATTTTACATGCACATAGATACATACAATGTTATATCAATGTTCATTAATAAACTGAATATTAATTCCTCTTATTCAACAGATTTAAAGGAACTGTCCTATTAACTGCTTGCTTTAAGTGCATTTAAAATATTTCTGTGAAAGAAGTTTTAAATATTTAATGAATACAGTGGTAGCCTCCATGGGAAGGTATCTTGGGGGTAGAATTTTTGTGATCTTTGGTAATTTGGAATAAAGGATTGCTGCTGCCTCTTACCCGATGGATGTTCTCAGGGGTGATGGCTTTGGCAGGGCTGGTCCTGATGAAGAACACACACACCCCAGTAAGAGCAACATCTTTTCCCTCGGTCACGAACACCTTGGGTTTTTTCATCTTTCCAGAAACAGAATTTACTCCTCCTGGAGAGCCAACTTGCCCTACAAATGCAAAAGGATTTTAGTCCCACAAATGCTATACTGTATCCATGTGATCGCCTCTTAGAATAAGGCTTCCTTGTTAAAATATTGTCATGTTGACTCATCCTGGTGCCCCACAAGCTCCACCCCTTGGACCACCTCTAGCCTGATCCCTAAAGGAACCTCAAAGGACCTGCTTTATATAGTGATCATTTTGTGACAGACAATAATATCGAATCTCTGCACTGCACATCTGAAACTAATCTAATACTGTAAACCAATTATACTTCAATAAAAAATAAAGAATGAAAAGTAAATAAAAGAATCTGCTTCATTCCAGACCACAAGTTCACTTCAAAATTGGTGCTCCAGGGAAAAGCAGAAATGGAAGAAATAGAAATAAGAGAGTTCAGTCCAGAGTGAATTCTTGCTGGAGCTGCAAGTCATCCTTCATGGGGCCAGTGAGAAAGGGTAAGGGAGGAGACAGCATCTATTGGCAAATGTTGTGTGTCAGGGCCTCCGCTCAGTACCATGCATGTGGTCTAAGTCACTTCAGTCCATGTCTGAGTCTCTGCCACTCCATGGACCACAGCCCGCCAGGCTCCTACCTCCATGGGATTTGCCAGGCAAGAATACTGGAGTGGGTTGCCATGCCATGATCTTCCTGACCCAGGGATCAAACCCACGGCTCTTGTGTCTCCTGCACTAGCAGGTGGGTTCTTCACCACTAGCACCACCTGGGAAGCCCCAGTTGGTACCATGTCTACATTTTCAAAACTGCTTGCAACCCTGAAGACAGCTGTGACCCGCCTCAAGTCACACACCAAGACAGCCAAGATCCAAACCCAGTTCTGACTACAGAACCTCTACGTCCTGTTGTTCTGGTCCAGCTGGCCCTTCAGATCACCAGAGTCAGGAAGGCGCAGGGGAGGCAGGACAGCACAGTTATGGCTGATGTGGGCTCCACAGTCAGTCTCCCAGGTTTCCACCTCCAGCTGCACAGCCTAGGCATTGGCCTGGAGCAAGTTAACTTCATCTTTCTGTTCCTCTGACTTCTCATCTGAGCAAGGCCCAGAGAATTCCAGGTCAGCTTGCTCAGGACAGGTGCCAGCCAAGTGAAAACTTTGCTGCTCCCTCTTCCCTCTCATCTCTGCCCTGACACACTCAGAAACTGTGGCTAACAGGCTGTGGGAAGCGGGTGGAAGGGTAAGTTGAAGGAGAACAGGAGACCATCTGCTCCCCTCCCACTGCAGATACTGACCCTCAGAGGCTTCTGCTGCAAGGGTGGCTGGGATGAAAGGCAAGGGGGAGGGCCAAGAGTGGAGATTTGACTTTAGATCGACTAGTTTTGATCAACTGGATATTTTTACTTTCTGAATTGAGGCTGTGTTTCTAAGTGGAAGCAACCATGGGAACTTTTATTCTTTTTTTTTTAATTGGCTTATAGTTGCCTTACAATGATGTGTTGGTTTTTGTTGTACAATGAAGTGAATCAGTTATATGCATATATATGCCGCCTCCCTCTTGAGCCTCCCTGCCACTCACCCACCCCCCCATCCCACCCCTCTAGGTCATCACAGACCACCTAGCTGGGCTCCCTGTGCTAGATGGCGGGTTCCTACCAGCTGTCTATTCCACATGTGGTCAGTCCCAGTCTCCCAGTTCATCCTTCCCCTCCCCATGTCCATGAGTCCATTCCTACATCTGCGTCTCTATTCCTGCCCTGAAAATAGGTTAACCTGTACCATTTTTCCAGATTCCACATATATGCGTTAACGTGTATTTGTCTTCTTCTTTCTGGCTTACTTCACTCCGTATTTTTATCCAAAAATATCCAGCAAAGGTCATGGGGCTGTCTGAATTGCAATTTAAGTTCAGAAGAAAAGCTGCTCCTCCTGAAAAGGTTTCAAGGGAGAGCGGGAAACAAAAACAAGCTTGCACTTCTGTTTACATCCCCTGAGCCCTCTGTGTTCGATGTAAGGTTGACACAAAGGCCAGCTTCATCCCGTGCATAGTTCATGGGTGAACCTAACACTCACTCAGTTAACTTAACTGAGCGTATGCTTTGCAATCTGGGACAGGACTCAAAATTTCTGTCTTGTTTTGATTTTTTTTTACTCAAAATACAATGCCCTTTCTGACACAAAATATAAAACAGATAATTTGGGGAAAATGCCAATCACTTATGCATGCACAATTTTCTCAGTTTTTAAACAAAAATGCATGGTCATATTCTATGCCAAGAGCAACAACTATCTTCTCTTTCATCAAAAAGGTCACAAAGTGATTGCATATGACATTTTAATATAATCATAATATATTTATGTCCCTAGTTTGGCTTTAAAATTATATTAATTCACATAAAAGTAGAAGGGGATATATCAACAGAATCCATACAGAGATTTGCAAGTTTATCTTAAGTGAAAATGACTAAACTTGCCATTCAATATTATTCATTTGAGTCACAGTCAGTAGAAAATAAACATGATGTGATATTTAACTTAAAAAAAAAACTCCTGTTATGCGTCTTGGCAATAATTCCTATGTTCAAAAGAAATAGAGAAGAAGCAGATGCCCAATGGAAGTTCTAGAACATAATGGTACAGAACGAACTAACATGTAAGGAAAGGAAATCTCAAAATGTAACTTATTTTATCATTCTCCAGCTACCAGCACAGTCTGAAAAGGAAAATAAAATATCCCAACGGAAGTCAGAACAACCAGGCTACAGAGCCACCATCATCTGTCCTTTGCTTGAGGTAAAAACAGGACCTGTTCCACAGGGCCTCACCCCCCACTCCTCACCTCTCCCATCACCCGGGATAAAAGTGCTCACAGTGGCCTTTGCTTCATGCCGTCCTTGGGTAAATCTAACAACACATTTCTGGGTTATGTGACATCAACTTTAAATACCTGTTTCCACTACCTCCACATCCTGATAGTAAAACATGAGGTGACGAAGGCCTCCAGCAGCAAAAAGCTGATCGATTCTTTCAATCTGGGAAACAGGAAAGGCAAGGTAATGACTTTGTTCTGAATCAGAAACCAGGTTTAAATCAGCATTTACTATCATCTTTCTTATTCGGGTAAGACTTCAGTATACGCAAACCATATAGAGCATATTTCTTATAACAAAAAAACCACAAAAGAATAAACATCTTACCATAGTAAAGGCTAAATTCAAAGAAGGATTTGATGAATCATAAAAGTATTTGCTACATACACATATCTGAAAAGAGATTGTCCCTTAATATTGGCTAATTTCTTAAAGTGCTGATATAAAGGCAGATATAAATATATTTAATTTTTCACCCAATTATAGATCAGAAAGAGAGACCACACCTTTCAAAATACAGTCTAACACACTATAAAAAAAAATAACATTAAATTCCAATAACCTTGGAAAACCACCATGATGAGAATACATATGACTATGGAATGCTCCACCGTCTAGCAACTTAGTCCCATCCATGAGGTTCTGTGTACATCTGGAGGTCTGCCAACTGGCCAGCTACTTGGCAGAATGTGGAAGTCAAGGTCAGAAATGAAAGAAAGCAGATTCAGCTGCCAAACCAAGGGCAAAGCCAGGGAGCTATGGCACGATTCACTCTCCCAGGACAGAACAGAATAAACTCAAAAAGCAAAGATAGATTGGCAGCTGAGAGGAGATTCTGTTCTCCAATCTCAGATTCCAAAATGGCGCCCAAGCCCAACTCCACTAGATGTAGAGAGACACAGACATCTCTGTCAGAATCATGGAACTCAAATGATGAGTTTAACATGGAGAGCTGGAGAGCCCCAAGCTCATTCCGCCATCACCTGTACCAAGTCAGGATGGGGTCCTGTCCATGTTGAAACAGACACCCTTCCCTAAGGCCCAGCACAGACCCTGCCATAGGACAACATGAGCTGTGCCCTCCATAATCAAGTCAGTGAGAACTCAAATGCATCGCACCTGATTCCCCTCAAGAATGGCATCCTCCACTTCAGTTTTGTTTAGGTCCACACAGGAAGCTACAATCCCAAACAGGTAGTCATGTCTCCCATCCAGACGAGCCCGCTTGGCTTCCTTCTCTTCCTTCAGTCTTTGCTACAAGAAGGGAAGAAAAATGTGATGTGACAACTACTGTTCTCAAATGCATTCACTCTGTAATTCATTTTGTAACTTCATACTACCATTGCTTTTTCAAGTCTTAGGTATTCAGATAACACACAGCTTACTGGTACCACTTTTTATGTACTATCTTCTATTTTTAGAAATAATGTTATTTCTACTATGGAAATAAGATGTGCTCATTGTTTTGAAATTATGTAAAACAGATAAGCCAAAAGAAGAAGCAAAAGTCACCTGCCAACCAGATAATATTCCTGTTAACATTTTGTTCTAAATCTTTACAGACTTAATTTCATACATATATAAGCATTCAAAAGACCTTATATATAAGACACATAGCAAAATTTTTAAAATCTCTATTTTTGTAAACATTCCCTAGGCCACTAAAGTAATACATATTCTTCTATATTATTCTCTATGTTTCTTGCTTGTCTAAAAGTTCATATCTGGTCTTGAAATTAATTTCTGAATAGCATTGCTTACTTTTTACCTGCTGACTGTTAATTACAATAATAAACAAGTTTACTGTCACCAGTGTTGCAGTTTGAAGCATATCTTTCCATATGTGCTCTGTTCATACAAACATACACAAACATATATACAGATTTCTATTTATACTATACTATAAATGTTTTTCATGCATTTTACCTTAATAATATATCATAGACTTCTTTTTAGTTTAATACAGACTATTCTAACTTGCTTAATAGCTGCAAAATATTTAACAACATGGATAATTATTCAAGCATTTCACCATCAGTCAATATTCAACTTCCAATTAATCTTAAGTAAGTGCATTATCTTTAATGCTAACCAGTAGCTCTGAATCCTTCTTGTTTTTAACAGTTGTTAAACCCCAAATATGTATAAACACTATAGAGGCAAACACTACCCAGTGACCTCAAAAAACTAACAGCCTGGTTTGCAGAATATGAGCAGAAACTATAAATAGGACAGGCTGGCATTATGGTTGATACAGGGGCATGAGATTTATGCAGACGCATTCATGGGTCTTCAGAGAAGGAACCAAAGGGAGGATCCCCCTCTAGCCCAGTGCTGAGGAGGGGTGGAAGGTAAAAAAAAAAAAAAAGTTTCAGGAAGAGTTGACTTAAGCCTAGAGTTGAAGGAGACTTGACCACACTACCTGGGACAGAGGCATTTCTGCAGATTCAAAGGCCACTGGACCTGTGACCAGTTTTCATCCCCAAAAATATGGAAAGAAGTGAGAATGTAAAACTTCCTAGGCCAGTCGTGCAGAGAACTTCAGCTTCTGCCTTTGCATTTGCGAATACTCCTTCAGAACACAGCTACCATGCTACGAAATGTCCAAATCACACGGGGAGACCAAATGGGGAAAAACCAAGGCATTCTGGTCAACAGCTCAACAGATCTCCTAGTTCAGGGGTCCCAAACCTCTGGGCTGCAGACCAGTACCTGCTGTCAGATCAGCAGCAGCATTAGAGTAGAAATAATAGGGCTTCCCTGGTTGGCTCAGTTCAGTTCAGTTCAGTCGCTCAGTCGTGTCCGACTCTTTGCGACCCCATGAACTGCAGCACGCCAAGCCTCCCTGTCCATCACCAACTCCCGGAGTCCACCCAAACCCATGTCCANAGCCTTGACTAGATGGACCTTTGTTGGCTCATGTGGTAAATAATCTGCCTGCAATGCAGGAGATCTGGGTTTGATCCCTGGGTCGGGAAGATACCCTAGAGAATGAAATGACAACCCACTCCAGTATTCTTGCCTGGGACGCCCCATGGACAGAGGAGCCTGGAGGGCTACAGTCCACGGGGTTGCAAAGAGTCGGACACAACTGAGTGACTAACACTTTCACTTTCAAGTGCACAATAAATGTAATGCACTTGAATCATCCTGAAACCATCCCCCCACTCCTCAGTCTGTGGCAAATTTGTCTTCCACAAAATCGGTCCCTGGTGCCAAAAAAGTTGTGGAGCACAGTTCTGACACTCGAGCACCAATTTGAAAACTATCTTGGACATTCCAATCTAGTCAAGCCTACAGGTGACTGCAACCTAGCCAATGACATGTGATACAGAAGAACCATCCAGCTGAGCCCAGCCTCCCACAGACTCAAGAGAGACAATAGATAGCTATTAAGAGATAATAGATAATTGATATCAGATATTTAAGCCATTAAGTTCTGGTATGATTTGTTATGCAGCATGAGGCAACAGAGTAATTCTTTTAGAATAATTTCATTAGCTGGACAGAAAACAACTACATGCAGAACCACAGAAAAGAATGATTGGGAAAAGAGAAACATAAAGGTACTAAAAATAAACTACTCTTTCTAGAAACTTGACTATAAAGGAAAGAGAGGTGGTTACTAGTAGAAAGAGGAAAATTTAGAGTCTAAGGAGAATTTTTTTAAGATACAATAGAACTACTAAAAAGTAAAGAGGAAAAAGTTGGGAATTTCAGGGTTATTGAAAGACTATCACTAGACGTATGCAATTTATGTTCATTTGTCCAAAACTGAAGGAACTGTTTGAGAGACAAATTAGTTGGGGGTGGGGGTGAGGGTGCAGGGCAAGATTAAGGTTTAAAAAACAATCTACCTATCTTCCTGCCATTTCCCTAAAGAAAAGAACTGACACTAGTCTTAACCCAAAATGCACATTCCATAAACATCATATAGAAGTTAATTTAAATCTCTTTTCAACTATGGCTAAAACCAGGAAAATGTCTGTTCTCTGACTGTTTTCCACATTCTAGGCAGGGAGGAATAAAAGACTTTTCTCAGGTGATCTTTCTGGGTTTATACTAAATGTCTCCAGCAGCATGAAGGTACAGTGGGCAACAAGGAGAGCCAGGGACCCAGCAACATATCAACCAGATGGCAAATGCTGGGCAGCCAAAAACACATTTGAAAACAAAAGAGCCAGTGAAGTCAGGATGTAAGCCAACTGAAGGCTTCCAAAGAATATAGAAATTTCTATAGGATTCTGCCATGGCAACACATTATTCTATGACCTGATTTTACAAGATTCCAACAGAAAAAAAAAAGAACATATTCTAGTGGAGGAAAGGAAAGATTAAACACTAGTTATTTTATTTTTACTTAAATATCACAGGGAAGGACTTCTAAAGCAGTCTTATATATAAAACCAAATTATCGATGTGTTTTTAAAGTAAATGTTTTCAGGGCTATATTTAAAAGCATGTTAAGCACTGAATATGTTCTTAAATAACTAGCCTATCTCCGAATGACAAGTAATGTGAAATAAACCCTAGTGCCATGTAGATGAAAGAGCACAATGTTTATCAATCTCAAGTTTCTCTGCCTTATACTAAGGTATCCTGATACAAAGAGGGATTTTTTTTTTCACTACCACAGAAAGTCAACAGTCTCAAATAAATATTTGGTGATTGGATCAGTGTGTTGTCAGTCCCTAAACTTGAACCTGCAGCTTTCTGGCTGCCAAGGAACTGCAGGAACAAGAAATCAGATGATTAGTTGGAGGTGGTTTGTCCTGTTGGCCTTTGGAATGTCTTGGAAACAGGATGACAAAGGCGAGAGATGAACTATGGCATTATTTTTTTTAAAGGGTCACATTAAAATTGTCTTCTCTGCGTGAGCAAGCTCCAACTGATAGAGGTGGGGAGGATGTATTCAGAAACCTATTCAGTGTTCAAGGAAATCTAGAGCAATAGTTAAAATATTTCTACAAAAGCAAAACTACAATGAAGTATCACCTCACACCAATTAGAATGGTCATCATCAAAAAAATCCATAAACAATAAATGCTAGGATGTGGAGAAAAGGGAACTCTCCTATACTTTTGGTGGGAATGTAAATTGATTCAACCACTATAGAGAACAGTATGGAGGTCCCTTAAAAACTAAGAACAGAGCTACCGTATGATCCAGCAATCCCACTCCTGGGCATATATCTGGAAAAAGCTCTAACTCATAACAATACAAGCAGTTTATCCATGGCACCATGGTTTTGCAATGGCCAACACCTGAAAGCAAGCTATATGTCATCAACAGATGGATAAAAAAGATGTAGTACATATATACAATGGAATGTTACTCAGCTATGAAAAAGAATGAAGTAATGTCATTTGCAGCAGCATGGATAGACCTAGAGACTGTCACTGTGAGGGCGATAAGTCAGACAGAGAAAGACAAATATGATGATATCACCTATACGTAGAATCTAAAAAGACGATGCTAAGCAACTTACTCGCAAAGCAGAAATGGAGTCACAGATGTAGAGAACAAACTTATTGTCACTAGGGGGATAAATTGGGAGATTTGGGGTTGACATATACACACTACTATATAGAAAACAGATAACTAAGAAGGACCTACTCTACAGCACAGGGAACTCTACTCAATACTCTATAATGACCTATATGGGAAAAGAATTTAAAAAAGAATAGATGTATGTATGTGTATAACTGACTCACTTTGCTGTATGGAAAAAAAAAACTAACACAACATTGCAAATCAACTATACTCCAATAAATTTAATGATAAGCAATCTAAGGTTTGCAGAATAAAAAAAAAAATATTTCTGTAACTTGTGACAAAGAATGTTACTACCATTTTAAAATGAAAGAGGGAGTGAAGAAACAAGTGCTGATTTCAAGGTAGAGCAACGTCATGTACACAAATGAGCACTAGTACCAGACTGGGGTCCAGCCCCAGGGTGGCCCCTAATTGTAAGACCTTGCATCTGTCTTTTAACCCTTCCAGACTTCAGGTTCTGCAACTCCAAAATCGAAGTGTAGGACTATGTGACAGCTAAGTTCCATTCCATCTCTTAACATTTGCATTACTTCTCACTGATTCAAAAATTAATACAGGGACTTCCCTGGTGGTCCCGTGGTTAAGAATCTGCCTTGAAATGCAGGGGACTCAGGTTCAATCCCTGGTCCAGGAACTAGGATCTCACATGCCACAGGGCAACTACTGAGGCCACAACTAGAGAATCCGTATGCAGTAAT